CTGGAGGTATTTAAAAAACATGTAGACTTGGTGTTTAGAGACATAGTTTAATGGTCAATGTGGCACTGCTGGGTTAGTGGTTGTACTCAGTGATATTAGAGGTCTTTTCCAACCTAAATGACTCTTAAGATCAATTTTTTTCTGAAGGGAACCATTCACAAGTGAACTATGGAGTGGGGGTTTTCTCTTTCTTTCCTAAGAGGGGAGTGGGAAGGAATTTGGTTTGACTTGGGAAAACTTTGTAAATATATAAATGAAAATACATTTTCTGGTTCTGGGGATAGGACACAAGATTATTGTCCACCAAGTACAGGAGAAATATACTGTGCCTTAAAAACTTTAAACATTTCTGTGTAATTTTCAAAGGTCAAATTGCTTTAATTCTCTATAAGGCCTTGTTTTTCTTGTATTTCAGCCAGCATTTTCCAGTGCACAGTAGTGATTTTTTTTTTCCTTTTCCCCCCTGTTTTTTGCTCAGTGTAAACAGTTCCTTGCTGTGGTTACACAGACAAATATAGCAGAGAACCCTTTTCTCAGAGAAGATTCTCCCTGTGCATTTTTTAACCATTTTTGGGAAGAATTGATCTATTTGTGCATGCAAGAGAGGGAGGCAGTAGCTGTAAATTGAAGTGACATCATATATATTACTCCCATTGATCCACTTTTAGACTAGAGCCAGGATAAAAGGAAATGGCATCAGGGAGGAAGTATGCTCATTTAGGCACAGATCCCAGTGTGATAATGGAGTAATAATAGAAATCACGCCACTGTCAATCGGTTGCTGCATTAGTCTGAGGCAGATTTCCCCTCCAAGGAGGCTTTCAATGACTTCATTCAAGTGCAGGCAGGAGCAAATGGGATATACAAAATACCAGCTGTACAACTTCAGTGATTTGTGTCCTGGCAGAGGGGTGCAGTGCAAGTGCTGGTGCTGTGGATCAACTCAAGTAGATGTATCTGTGTCACATTTCATGGCTGAAAGGTCAGTAGTCAAATGTTTCAGTGGCAATTTTTTTTCTAGTGTAAAGGCGAATCTGGCATTTATTGCATTTGTTAATGTAGGAATTGATAAATACGCTCTTTCGTGTGGGTGGTCTTCTGGGATGTGAGATTGATGACCTCTATGGCTGCTATACCAGATCTCTGAAGAGGAAAGATTTGTTTTCTTTGTGCTTTTTACACATTAGGGACTGTACTTTGAAAATTCATAGTTTTGTTCAAAGATTATTTGTAGAAAACCTACTAAATTATTAAGATACTCTTGTAACACAGTATAATGGCTTAAGTGTTTTGTGTACCAATATGAATAAAATACAAAGTATGCTTTTCTTACTTCCAATAGATTTAGTATACAGTGAATATCAGTTATATTTTCAATTTGTTTATGTTTTCTTTATTTCATTCATCTTTCATTTTTCAAACACAGAGCCAGTTTTGATATTCCCTATCATTTACAGTTTGTTTTAAGGGTAATAGTCTCTTTACTCAAACTTTAAAGCCGCCACGTCAGGTAACTTAGGGGAAGCAGGGAACAAATTGTTGTTTAGTGGCAGGACAGTGAACTCTTTCAGAAAGCTGAAGAGTTGGAGGAGAGGTCTTACAGTCTTAAGGGCAAGATAATATATACAGAACTGGGATACAGCTTTATAGAGGGGATGGTGTTGAATTACATGGGACATGACAGAAGACCTCTAGTGGGCTTGATCACAACATATTCATTTATATCTTCTTTGCAGTGTCCATAGTCACAGCTGGGGGAGGGCCAGCCCTGAGAAAAATAGTATAATTTCCATACAGCAGGCATAGTTTGAGATAGGAACTATCTACTTTACAGTATAAATAGATGCTGTTGCAGCAATTATTGACGTAATGAAAACTATTTATTGATCCTCACCACATTTCCTGATTGAAGCAATCTGCTTTCATAATTGCATATATTTGAACATTTAGATTCTCTATTCTAGTTCTGAGTATGAGGGGGTTATTTTTTATTTATTTTATTTTAGTTCATTTTATTTTATGGATAGCACTGAAATTTTGCATTTAGGGTGTTATAGTTGTTTTCTGAATGTTTTCTGCCTGAAGACAGCATGAGAATGTGACGATTATCCTGCTGTAACTTGGTGTATCTGTGTTGTGTACTTTTCTGTGGGTGTTAGATATTCAATATGCATTCACAGACTGTGAGTTGTTGTAAAGGAAAGTGGTTGTTATACAGTGACTGAAAAGAAATTTGCATTTAGGTCTCTACAGTATTTATGTTTACATAGCACTTAAGGCAAGGGCCTCTGTGTATTAAGCATGAGGCAAACAAATTGAAAATTAACAACATGCACCCCAAACAATTCTCCTGGTATGAAAGATGGAAAGTAACAGGTGGGCAGGACAAATAAGAATGGTGGTGGGAAAACAAAAATCAATGAGAGTGGGGTTTCTGAGAGAAAATTAAAGTGCAATTTTTGAAGCTTATTTATTACCATTAAAAGACTGCTTTCGTGAGAATGATACTCGTTTTGTTGTATGGGGGGAAAAGAAAATGTCTGCACCCCTAAATGAATTTTGTAGCAGCTGGTGTCATGAAAGTCTTGTTGCAATTTTCTGTCTCTTGGCCTAAGTTAGGGTTTTTAAGCAGAGTCTCTTTTATTGAAAGGAAAGGGTAAAAGTGTAGATGGGAATGTTCCTCCTTTTGTGTTAGAAACAAGTTGGAGAACAAACTGTAATAGCTGTGCCCACGAGTGCCTCTGCGGGCAGAGGTCTGCCAGCCAGCGTTCCCCTGCCAGCGCCCCGCCCTCTCTGCCAGTGTTCACTAGCCCCTGCCTTGGTCTGTAATTAATCCACGAGCTAGAAACTGGTATGTAAGGTGTCACCTTGGGCAGCTGAAATGTGGGAAAATAGCAGAAGCCATGGTCTTATTCATAGAGTCATAGAAGATGCTGGGTTTGAAGGGGCTCACAAGGATCATCGAGTCCCATGCCTGGCCTTGTACAAGACACTTCAGTAATCACACCATATGCCTGACAGCATTGACCAAACACTTAGCGAATGCTTGGTTTTGTTTATTTGTTTGTTTTATTGGGGTTTTGTTTGTTTGTTTTACTGACTCTCAGAGTTTAACCTTCTGAAAAAACTTCAGCCATGATGCAGCACTAGACAGACATAAATTAAGGGCATGGCTGCTGCTCTGCTGTTGCTCTTTTGTTGGCTTCAGTGAGATTCTGTGATGCTACCTTAAACAATAGCTTTCTGTGGGTGAATCTGTGTAGCAATTATACTGCAGATATATTATAAAATACTCAGCTGTTCTGTACCTACGTATTCAAGCAACTGTTCTATAGCTTCTGCAAATTAAGTATTGTTCTTCTGTCTTTCAGTTAGCAGTGAAAACAGTCTAGATCAGAAGTTACCTTTCTTTGTGTGGTGTTCTGCAACATTTTGTATTTTATTAGTGTTCAGAATTAATTCAGTTTCCAAGTAGAGTCACTTCCCAGAAGCTTTCCCTGTTTTATTTTTTAACTTGTCTTACCAACCCCCTGGCAGCTGCTGTTGGACTCCCTAATAAGCATTTAAGCTGCCATTTTAGTAGTTGTCTAAATGCAAAGAAACCAAAACATTATAGATAGAGATGCTCTTTCCTCTTTATTCTGATTTAGGTTCTAGTCTAAAAGGGAAGAAAATGGCATGTTGCTAAATTAGTCATTAATGTAGATATTTTACAGATTAAGACTGATCAGAAGATCCTGGGTATTTTCATGGACATACTGTGTGAGATCAGGAGTCCAGTCTTGTTCAGTCCACATAAACAGCCCTGGCTGTGGGATATGTTGTTGGAAGAGGCATTTCCTATAGCTGACTTCATTTCATCTTTGCTTAGTGCATCGACGTGGCAAAGCAGACATGGGCAGGTAGAGAGGTGGGAACAGAAAAACACCAAATGTGGTGAAAGCTGGAAGTACTGTCAAAGTAGCAGGATGTCTTTTTTCATTAGTCTGTCTCAAGAACATTAGAAGTGAGCAGGTTGATTTCTTTTTGTATGCAAAAGCCTTACTGACATTCTTTTCCGTTTTCCCTTCCTCCCCTGGTGCCCTGCAGTGATGAATAGTGGGGAAAGTTTTGGGACATATAACAAACTTCTGAATGATCACCTTGGAGCCTGAATTTCTAAGAGATTTTTTTCCTGGCAGCTGGTGCAATTTCTCTCTGAGCTGTGTTTGAATTATTTATTTGTTCATCCAATAAGCCTATTAAACAGAGCACTTAAGCCCTGGCTACAACAGACTTCTTGTGCTTTCTTTTATTTTTTTTAGGTTACATTAGGTTCCAGTTCAAAATTGTAGGTTCTGGAGTCAAGAAACTGACTGAAACTACTGAATATATATCAGTGTGTAGATGCTGTACTGTATGTGCCACAAATACACCATTCATGCATATTTCCCATATAAGGATGGATGGTTTGTGACTCATTGCACTAAAATATGCCTCAGAATGTGTTTTTGCAACAATTGTTTGGTGGGTCACTTACTTGTGTTGTGTTTCTTTGGTCGCTGTAAACATATCATGCAAATGCTTGTATATCAGATAAAAACACCACTCTAAAAATTATATGTTCCTGTGTCTCATTGATTCCTCAAATTATGCTCTGTAAATTATTCTCTCTTCAAACCCAAACAAAATAGAATTACTTATTTTATACATTATATAAAAATCTTGCTTATTAAGCCATGATTATATTTCAAAAAGATAAGCATGTTTTAGATCTGACCTAACCATAGCAATGGAAATCATGGAAAATGAGTCCTAATTGTGCCCCAGCACAGTCTTTCAGAACACAGACACATAAACCCTGAGGTTTTTCAGAAACCAGCTAGAGGTCTAGGTTGTATTTAAAGCACATGCTGGAGGTACACAGGTTATCACAATCTTGTCCTCTTTGGTTTGTTTCAATTTACATTGCTCAGCCAGTAGAGATCTTCATTCACACATGGCACTTTTTCTTCTTTTAGCTTCTCCCTGACCAGCTGGTCTTACTTCTGGAGTTCCTCTTGGAGGAGAAGACATTGTGTCCTAGAATACTGCAGTGCTTAGAGAGAACATACCAGCTCCGGGAGCAAGATGCCGAGGTAAGTCACATAAAAACAAATCTCTCTAATGTATGCCACTGTGTTGTTGACTAGGAATAACAGTGTTCCACGAGGAACCAGGCTCACTGGAGTTTGTTTTTTCTCTCGTGTGAATCTGAAATTAGATGATCTTAACTCCAGTATTGTTGCGCCTTCATGTGCCATAATGACTCTATTTCTGTGTGTTTTGTGTATTGTTCAGGTGCGTTTTGTGTACTGTGGTGGTAAAGCACCCAGATGTCCAAACTATTTTACATGTACCTTAGTCAGCACATTTGTTCAAGTGTTAAATTTTTCACTACGTTTTTCTGTGTAGTGGAGCCCAGTTTGTTTTTGTTGTGATATTGTCTCCAAATGTAATCATGTCTGTTATAGTCTAGAATTATTTTTCCCCATTGTCAGCTCATATTGTTCCTCTTTGTATGCCCCAAAGTCTCACTCAGGATTTAGGAAAGTTAGCTTTCCAGAGAGACTATAGTGTTTTCTGGTTTGGAGACTTAATTTAATGTTTTTTGCAGTTGCTTCTACTAAGTGCCAGTGACATTAATAGCCCCCAAGGAAAACACTGCTTTATATGATATCATAAAGGGTAGCATCCCTCCTCCAAAGTGCTTTATATCTTTGGGAGGCAAACCAGTAAATCTTTATTACCACGTTCAGAGAGGACTCTTTTAAGTCCCTTGGTTTTCTCGAGCTGGGAGAGTTCTGAAAATTAATGCAGAAGAAGTGGTGGCTGAAAGCACCCTTGCAACCAGCCTTTGCTTCAAGTATGTAGTGTTCAGGAGGAGGTAAGAAAGCCAGAGATGAACATAAAGGAGTCTAGAGGTGTGTGTGTGTGTGTATATCTGTGTGTATGTGCGTATATATATATATATATGGATATGTATAAAACAAGGGTTAATTAGGACGTAGCATACAACTAAGCTACTGTGCAATGAAGGAATATGGTGAACTTAACATTTGGCTCCTGCTTATTTAAAAACTGCCTTGCAGAAGGTTGCTGAAAGCTAGTGTGTTTGACTTACCCTGTTATTCCTGGAACTTTGTGGCAATTATTAGAATTGACGGAGAGAGCAAAATCTGTCTTGTTACTCTTACGCTGAAGCTGCTGTGTGGATGCTTGGAAAGACTTGGAAATCCAAACCTTGATGTAAAGATTGATAGAACAGATGTTTACCTTTTTCTCAGAAAAACAAACAAACAAACAAAAAAAGAACAACATTTCAATTGCTGCTGTTTACTGCACCTTTTTACTTTTTGTTGATACAGTTTTCCAAATGCCAGATTTGCTTTTAATTAGTACTTGAACCAACATTTCTATTTATAGGTATTAGAATATATTTTAATCACATCTGAATACCAGTGAAATGTCAGTGGTTCTATTATGGGAAGAGGAATTAACAGGGACATAGATCAAAGCAATAGCTGTGCTGTTGTTGCTGTTTCATGCCTATGAATTGTAAGCACCAGGCCACAAGATTCAGTTTCTCAGGTTTTTCCTTCCTCTTCACTTTCATGCTTTCTTTTTAACTTGCAGTGTTAACATAAAAGTACACAAACAATCTACCAGAATGTTTTTGTGAAAAGCCTCCACAAACCCTCAAGATTAGGACCTCTATGAAATGAACATAGTCTCCATTTTATTTTACAAGGTGAAACCAAGGGCTTAGCAGACAACTCACTTAGAAGTACAACTAAGATAACATTACCATTAGCATTTTACCAGTCATCAGACCCCAGGGACATACAATCCTTTAAAGGGAACTAGCTTCCATGGCCTCACCTACCTGAGGAACAGACTATTTGTGCCTCATTCTCATGTATGTGCGCAGGGGATTTTTGTTGTTGTGACCCTGGGGCACAGGGAACTGCAGTCTGAGCCTGTTCTTGTCTAGACTTAATTTGTGGATACACAAATCACTTATAGTGATCCTGTTGTATTACTGGAGTTCAAATGTTCTCAGTAGCTAAACATCAGAAATGGATTAGTAAAAATAAAAACAAAAAAATCTTGCAGGCAGGCCAATAAAAAGAAAACCGTCAGCTTCAGAGGGTTTGTTCCAGGATTTTTGGAAGTGAGGATGTCAGATGTGTTCTATCCAGCAGTGGAAAGTTAAGAAATAAACTTGTTTTCTTATTTTTGAAAAGTAGCATTTACATTCACAATCATCTTCCAGTAGGGATAAGCAATGATATGGCCAATAGTGTGAGAGGGTACATACACAAAGGAGTGTGGTTTTTTATGTATTTTCACAAAGTTTGGTCTTAAAATTTGTACATAATAATTTTGAATATTATTACTTGAGGTCCATTTGTCCTGCACAAGTACAGCATGGAAAGTCCTTGTTTATATTTCTTAAGCTGTTCTGTCTGTGTGACTGAAGCATCTTTATTTTGATTTTAAAATTGACCATGCTTGTTGTAGTAAAGCATTGCACACCTGGTGGCATCTGCACCTGCCCACAGCAAAGTGCAGGTCTGTCCCCAGCCAGTGGAGTTGACAACAACACTGTTTGGTAGTCCTGACCATTTCTTACCATGTGCACGTCCAGATTTAACAACCTAGGGGTACATGTTGTTTCAGAAGGGAGTGGAGGGTTTGCAGCAGGTTATCTGCCTTGTGTCAATTCTTTCTGTCAGTCAGGAGAGGAGAGAGGTCAGAGTCAGCCTTGGCCTGGAATGGAAAAGTTGATATCTCTTGAAGAGATCTCTGTACCTACTCAGTGCAGTTCCTCTGCTCTCAAATTGGGTTTCAATGCAGATACATAGGCTCAGTGTCTGTCTTCCTACTAGGACAGACATTTGAATGCTTCTTTTAACAAACAAAAAATAAATCATAGGTTAAGTAACATGTTTGTGATTCATAACTCATAACTTCGGAGCCACAAGAGCCAGAACTGCGGATGGCTTAATCACATTTCAGATTGGTCTGCCCCCAGTCTTGGATCCCAAGAGAGGCTTGTAGGACATCTGCCACACTGCAGAATTTATGACTCCTTTCCACTTTTTGCAGTCCACTTCTGTAACAAATAATTATTTCATTTTCCATTTACTCCTCAAACCTTGGAACATCTGAGAAGACACAAAACTACAAGTTAGTTTTCAAAAGATTAAATTTGTTGATCTGAGCTGTTTGAATTGAGCATATCCAAGAGATCTTTGTTTTAAAAGCAATGAAGGTTTCAAAGTTTAAAGCTATTTTTCCATTCTTCTCTCTGTGCCTTTAGCCCATTGTGGCTCAGCCAAGTAGTGTCAGACAAGTGGAAAGCAATTGGATTATATCCTCAGTTTTCTCTTCCTGTTCCCCCTGTCTTGTTGTGCTGCTTCCCACTACATAATAAAATAACTCATGCACAAGCTACATCTCCATGACATACCACATCCTGCATCGGAGAGAAGCATTATAGAAGCTGGCTGCATTTTGAACATGACAAAGTCCAGCTGTAAGTTCAGCTGGCTGAGGAGAAATAGGATATGTTAAAAAGCATCAGCTACAGTTGCCATCAGACAGCACAGTGAGATAATAAAATTTAAAGTGGGTCTGGGGTTGTTTTTGTTTTGTTTCTTTCCAAAGTGGCTGTTCTAGGCAGCTGTTTCGTTTATTCAATATCTAGCATCTGGCAGAATGTGGAGAGTTGGTCTACATGGAAAGTTTTGGGTGTCTAGTATTTTTTAAAATCTGTCTAACCTCGATGACATCTCTTCTGATATGACAGTGCAATCCTATCTCATTTGAATAAGCTATTGAGAACTTTCATGTAAATAAAGTGGAGTCAATCATTTACAAAAAGACAACACCGTGAGATCTGAGTTAACACTCAATGAATCTCTTAGCTAGATGAGCCTGCTCATCACTCCCATTATTTCTGTTCTTTATTAGGCCAAAGGCCTGTAACTTGTAGGCACACAAGGACACAGAATGGCTGAGTAGCCTGCAAAATAATGAAAAATGTGACAGGAAGATCACAGCCATAGAAGAACAGTGGGTGTGGCACTTTCAGTCCGAAGCGTTGATGATATTTCTGCAAGTGTGTTTTGCTTGTTGCTGAATTATCTAAGAAGTGATGATAAAAACTGCAGAATGTGGATGAAGCAGAAATATTTATGGTGTACTTCCCCAGATTTTTCACTGTAGAGTTAGCTTTCCTTTCTTTCCTACTATAAATCTCACTTTTATCTTGCCTGCACAGCATATGGGAAGTTGCTTTGTTGTGTTTCCTTGTCTCAGCAAGCAGACTGAAATGCTCATCACTTACATAATGCTTTCCCTGTATTTGGGATCATAATGTGGTATATTTTGGGGAGAGAAGAGAAACTAGAACTCTTTCTGTAGAAATGTGAGTAAAATGAGTTAAGATCATAATATCATCAGTCATGTGGGTGGCATGAAGCTATTCTCACACAAATACTTCATTGTGCATGAGGTCTGCTCTGCCTGTGTGACCCAGGCTATAAAGTGGTGGCATCTTATTTCACTGACAGAAATGCAGTCATGCTAATACAAACCATCTAAGGTGCTTGGCATCCTAGAAGTGGTGAGAATTCTGTTAGGACAAAATAACTTTGATTCGTTGATCTTTCCTAGCCTGTGAAAAGCTGGCAGATGTGGAAGTACAAATAAATTCTTGTCATTTCCCATCTGATGGTGACTGTGTTGAGCTGAGCACATTCTCAGCTTGCATAACTCAGCTGTCCTGCTGATTGTGGATGGGCATTGCTTGAAGGCACGCTTATGGAACAGAGCTCTGTAGACAACACTGGGTAAAACTGGGTGGGAGAAGGGAACTGCTTGGGAAAGGTTTGTGCACACTTGAAGAAGGCACTTGGTGAGCTCTCCTTTCAGCACAGCCACTGGGCCAGGGCAGGGACTCAGAAGCAGTCTCCAGCTTTTGAGTACAGTTAGTAATATATTGCAAATACCTCCACAGTCCTTCCTGACTGTACTGTGATAGCAACAGGTAGGCATGTTTCAGATAGTGGCATTGCAACCACAGCAGGAG